CTTACATTTTTCCTCTCCACTATCAATTAAAATGTTAGTTCTGTCCTCAAAATGCCTATTCCCAATATGCCCTCACTTCCAATATACCCTCCTCCAAAAGAGTCAATGGTAGTGTTTTCCACAGTTGGGGCAACAAGCTATTTATTATTATACTTGTAACACTGGTCATCTATCATCTCCTTTCTTGTTTTTCTGAGGGCTCCAGGTATTAACTCTTGTTTCTCCTCCTGCTCTGTAAGCTGTTGCTTGGATCAGCACTCTTCTCCCCTGACCTGCTGGAAAGGACAGTCTTGAAGCTTCTTTCCAACTCCAGATCCCTAATGTGAGCTCTGAAGATTTCAAAGGGTTTGGACTGCTATGTCAAAGACAATCAAGTGAAGACTAATGATTCCATATTGCCCCTCTCCTTGTATTCTTGCCACTAAAAAAGTTCCTTCACTCATATATAGACATAAAGTTGCTTTTACAAGTGACATAAAGAACTACTCAAGATTCACCTACATACTATTTATCCCAGGAATTTTACTTCTAGCTACTGTTGAGTCTACCAACTTAAGGAAGAATAGCAATGAGGTAAAGATGTGTTTATTCTCCTCTTTTCTCAGAGTCCAACAGTGTCAGACCTTGCCCTAAATGGCAATGAGTTTGAGTACCAGGTCTAGCCTACAGGAAGGTACTAGACTTAAAACCCCAAAAACAACTGAAACAATAAGGGGAAAAGTAGGAAGTGGAGTTTTCTAGTTGAAAGAAAGAGGAATTCTTCTGATCTATCTAGCTAGGAACTTCCATCAGTAGTCAACAATAACAAGTCATCTAAATATTATTACTGAAACATTCATGAATTTGCATAGATAAAATGTTTTATGCTTGCAAAGAATACAAAATATAATACTTTCTATCCCATTTGTCTAAATATATACACATAATCTAAAATGCACCAGGAAAGCATTTACTTATATATAGCAATAAATTAATTTGAAACTATATCACCAACTTTGTGATTTAATTAGAATTCTCAAAATAAAAATTTGGGCCTACAAAGGAAGATAAATACCACAACAGAATAAAATGCAAATCTGACGGGGGTGGGGGGGAGCTTTTTCAATAAATATCTAAATAGGCTTCAATAAGTAAATACTTCAGAGCATCAGAGCATATGAGAAAAGTAAGAAATATTAAGATAAAAATGCAAATATTAGTCTTCCTTAGCTAAGAGACTTTGAAGGTTTTCTCTCCAGTTTTGTTTTCAAATTTTTCTTTGGTTTTAAGTTGCCATCACCCTTCACATCATGTCTTTCCCAAACACCCGCATTATCAAAGCCAGAGTGACACTGGTGAAAGTGTACTGAGTTATTTCCTATTTCTCCTCTCCATTTTCAGAGTTAATAAAGATCAGAAGTTGTATTTTTCCAATTGCAAAAGAAAGATAGGGCACAAAGTCTGAATCATTAAGACACAACAAAAAAGGGTCTTAATATATGGGAACGGTCTACCCCCTCAAAAAACTTACAAACATACTATAATGTTTGTAATTCATACTATAAATTTGACTGAGAAAGAAAAAATATACAGCAGCTTCTTTTTAAACAATTATTTCTGCCCGCCCTGTTGTGGCTCAGCGGTTGAGCGTCAACCTAGGATCCAGGCGATAGCGATTCGATTCCTGGTCAGGGCACATGCCTGGGTTGCCGGCTAGGCAGCCGATCAATGACTCTCTCACCATTGATCTCTCTCTCTCTCTTCCTCTCCTTTCCCCTCTCTGAAATCAATAAAGATTACTTAAAAAAAAACCAAAAAAACAGTTATTTCTGAGGCCTAATCACTGAAATCTTGTCAATAAAACATGTATCAGTTCTAGTATGCTCACCTCAATCCTTAACTAAACCTTTTTGAGGTCTCACCTTCTGGTAGCAAAAATGAAAGCATAATCTGATGAGCAGCAGCATAGTATTAGTAAACTGTCAAATAACTAACCAACTAAAACTACATAAATGTACTAACTGGTAGTAGGATAAACCCCTATCCACTGCAGTTCTAAAATAAAAAAAGGTTATGTTAAAAATGAGGTCCCTTCATATTTGTATTTCATAATTTTGAGAGAAAAAAGTTAGGTTTATTTGATGCAGTCTGCAAGAATTTTTTTAAAAGAACTTTCTAAAACAATCTTGCAGATTGCTTATATGTAAATAGACTAAAACAATTCCAAACTGAATTCTGAACAAAACTGGCAGAACTAACATGACTACACAAATATGAACAAGGCAATACTGTTGCACTTTGCAGAAAAAAGAATTTGTTAAAAAGACTATGCACAGAAAAAATCCCATGCTGGTAGGTAACTACTATAAAGTAAACAGAACTGCAACATACAAAACTACTAAAAAAAAAAAAAAGAAGAAAAGACACTTTATATATCAACAACAGTTAATGTTTCAACTGCTACTAAATATCTGCTGAAACAGTTCTAACTCTATATGACAAGGAGAGTGAGGTTTGGGGGAGATAGGGAAACCAACCTGCACTGAAAACCAATTCTTCAAATAAATGTATGTTAAACTTTGCTTTCTATATGTAAATGTCAATGCATATTATAATACAAATTAACACTGATAACTTGTACTGAAGTAAAAACAACACCCACTTGTTAGTTTACAGATATGGAAATTGGATGAATTTGCATATCTTAAAATATGCAATAAACGTTCATTTCAAATCATCAATAATTAGGAAGCCAGTAAAAGGCATGTATGTGATCAAACTGGATCTTACCAGATCCACACACTTAGTTTCACCATGCAACTATTTTTACAGACACAAGTTGCTACATACCTGCATCAACATTCTCAGTCTCTTGTTGAAATTGTCATGTTACAATCTAAGAAATTGGAAATTGTTTGAAAATCTATAGATTATGTTCACAAAACTCTCCAAAATATTTTCGCATAGGTACTAAATATAGTAATTTCAATTATTACAGAACTAGACTCTGCTAATTATGTGTGGACTGTACTGCATAAGCATATTTAGATTTACTGCAACATTATCATGAACTTTGAAAACTTGAGGTGTGGAGATCACTTCCAAACTTTGTAAATTATTTCTTCACAAAACCAAAAACCTGAAGAGACTGCATATGCCCCTAATTTTCAAAGTAGTTCAAATTATCTGAAAACCTCGCAAAATAACAGAATAGCTTGACTAAGCTCTAGAGACAAGATCCTACCAATATCATTTAAGTACTATCAACTCCAAATAATTTTGCAGCTACATAACTTTTTTCAAACATCAGATAATGACAAACATCAGAACCTCTCCTTTCATTCCTCCTTCCCGGTTTCTGACATAGTTGCCAAAACTACCTACTACCGAGGGAATGTGAAGATGATAAAGCAGCACTCCTCAACTCCGAGGGCTTAAGTCGTTAAGTTACTGCTGCCAGGAATTAAGAAAGACCAAATACAACCAAAAGCAAGATACTTTCCCCGAACAGGTCTGGAATGCGTAAAAAGGAAGCTTCTAAACCTAAAACCGTATTCGTACAGCCTTTCACTGCATTCAAATGCGAATACCACGCAAGGGTTCCCAAGCCCACCTCAAATGGTAATGATTAAGCCTTTCATCTCAATGTCCCGGTCCCCTTAGACAAACTCGCAGAACCCGAACGAGGGCGAGAAACGAGGCCTGAGCACAGGGAGCCGTCGCAGAGTTGAGAGAGGGATGCTCAAGGAGCTCAAAATCCTGGCGTGTGCCAGGCGGGGACGGAGCCTACTCCGGGCCTTCCCACACCGTGTCAGCCCAACCACCGCCTCCCCGGGACCCCGATACTCCCACCAATTCACACAATTCAAGCTTACCTCCTCCCCAAGCTCCCTTCGCAAGCACACTGCGGAGGCGTCACCGCCGCCACCGCTCCGAGGATGGGGGGATGCGACCCTCTGTCCCCGCGCCTGGCCCCGGGAGGACGACGACAAGGAGAAGGAGGTGCGCGAGCGGCTCCCGGGAACCGGCCCTCGGCTAGCGAGGGATCCCGGGGGCGGCTGAGAAGCGGAACTCGCCAGCCGCTTCGCCAGGATCAAGCGAGACTGGGACGTAGAGAGGAAAACAACGAAGGGAGGCTGGGGAATAAGAAAATGCAACGAAAACACTTCCAGGCCGCGAAGAGGATCGCCTCAAAATGCCGCCGGAAGTTGAGGGTTTGCCCTGTTCCTCTACAGGCCTAGGCAGCTTCCGGCTGCCAAATTAGTCGTCAGCGCGCAGGCACCGCCCCTTTGTGGACACGCCCTCCGTCCTCACGCTGCGGGGCGCAGTCGGAACCAGCTCTGCGTGAGATCTCTGCAGGGGAGACCCGGAGCTTAGAACTTCTCAAGCTCAAGTTCCCAATTAAAAGTGACTTTAAGAGGAAGAGTTTCGCTCTTTTATTACATAAATTCTTGCAATAAACGGCTGTGGTAAATGCCACATTTGTTGTCGAAAGTAAATACATTCATTCGATCTACAAAGTTTAATGAACGCTGAGCTGGAGGGCGACAGGAAGGTGTTTGTCCTTCCTGACACCCTTCCACTTTCTGGGCCATTCATTGTCTTTTCCTGTGGAACAAACGGACTGCACGGTTGTGTTTTTAGGGCACAAGCAGAAATTTGTTGAAAATGTGCAGCAAAAATATTTAACGTACTTCTGAAAAACCTTTCTTTTTGTTGTTTAGGGTCCAATGATTTGCATTAAACTAATTATTAAAATTGCTTGAGATGGTTAGTCAAACGTCGTGAATAATAATAATAAAAAAACCAGTACCTAGCTTCTCACAAGTTAAAAAGAAAAGGGGGGGGGGGGAGAAAATGTGAATTTATTTATTACATTTATTTTGTTCTTTGACAAAACCAAGGAATAGGAAAACCTTTTGTCAAAACTACTGATAAAACTTTAAAAAAACTGGTACAATGATTTGGTCTTGGAATCACTAAATTAAAATGTGGGAGCAGAGTGAAAAAATCAAGAGCATTAAACATTCTTGATGACATGCCAAGCTATTTTAGAGACAGTGGCAAAGAGCTTCTCTGCAAGGGGGTTCGATGAAAAGCTTTGGCAGCAAGAATCCATATTTTCCTGTATCTCGAAGTTCAATTGTAAAGGAATATTTGATGCCCAAGTCATAGATCCAGTCATCTGGACCTCCAGGAGCTAGGTCTATAGAAGAAAAGAGAAATTACTTTTTGAAATACAGATGTTTCAAGTTAACTAACAAAGTGTTTTTTCTCCCTAAAATTGAAAATTGCTTTGCATTTTTCTGATTATTAAGTAATATACATTTCTGGTAGAAAATGGAGGTTGATGGAAAACAGGTTAAGGAAGAAAATAAAAATTATAACTTTACCAAGAAGTGATAATCACCATTAACGTTTTAGTGCTTCCCCCCCCCCTTTTCAGTGAAGGCTTTAACCAA